CACACACACACACACATACACACACACACACACACACACACACCACCTCTGGAGGGCGACACCGGAGAGATGACATGCACGACAGCACGACGACGGTCCTCATAGTCATAGTAGTTGTGGTTGTCGGCGGGGTCCCGGCGCCCGCGTTCAAGTCCCTCATGACGTTGCCGCGGAGGGTGTTGCTCCTGGCGTGCTGCCGCTGCAAGTGGTAATGACGATGGCACCCGCATTGCTACTAGGCTCACGCGGCACAGGGGGCGGGGGGCGGGGGACGTGAGAATTGGTGCTTGGCACAACGATCGCCACCCGACCGAGCGTTGGCCGCGACCACCGGTCCTGCCCGCCCCTACCCTGCCGGCGCGGCGGGCCCAACTCGATCCATCTCGCCCCCGCCCCCGCGGTGGTGTGGTGGTCGAGTCAACACCGCGCCGGGGGAGAGGAGGAAGGAAGCGGCGCACGGGCGTTCTTAGAAACAGAAAGCGACAAACGAGCGATCACGCCTCCGAGTTCCCAGTCAGTTCAACAGCCTCAAAACATATGCTTGACTTGACTAACCACGAGGCCTGAACCCGGGGAAAACGAGGGAAAAGGAGGGGGGCGGGGCGTTTTTAGAAACGGAACGAGCGAGCGAGAGAAATCGTGAACGATGCGTTCACGTCGTCAACGCGTGCCACGTTCACCTCGCTCTGTTCCTACGAACAGCCAAGTTCATCCTCTTTCAGGCTCTCTTAGCGCCTGATAGGAAGGCCACATCTTGCGAACCGTGCACGTGTGTACTGCGGGCTGGCCTACTCTGAGTCCCGCAGGCGCCGAGCTCCCGAGAGCCACAGTGAGAGAGACCGAGTTAGGCGCGCAGATTGGCGCGGTGAAAAGCGTTCAGCTGCAGTGGCCCGCACCGCACCACCACATGCCCCTCCACGGCGCGCTGGAGGCGCGATTTACTACCCGTGGCGGAAGCCGAAGGATACAAGATACAAGACCGAAACCTGAGAGCCTCTGCTTTTTGCTGCAGCCGTTCGTAGTAATGGAGGTGATGTCAATAAGGGCAGGTTACGGCGCTGAGTCAGAGTCGAACCCCCCGATCGATTCTCCCCCCCCCCCCTCCTCTTCCCGACGCCACTGGGGTCGCCGTGCTGCAGTGCGGAGCGGGTGGAGGTGGAGCGCCAGTCCAGTATGCGCCAGCGCGCGACGGCGTCGATACCGCGGGCCGGAGCAGGACGCCCCGTAAAGCCATGACCCCACTGCACCGTGGCGTTGAGGTGGACGCCGCCGTGGAGCGCGTCGGCCGGGGTCCGTCTCGCGCCTCGCCTCACCTCGAGCGGCTGCTATGCTGGATTAAACGTCATGGAGGCAGCTGATCGGACTGCTGAACTGTCGTCAGGGTCAGGTGAGGGCGAGGCAGGCCTTCGAGGATGCCGCTATCAACCCCCTCCCCTCCCACCTACCCTTTACCCCAGGTTGCGCAGACTCACACCCTCTTCTGTCCGCAGTGAGGGCGCAATGTCCTTCCCCAACGTACTGCCCGAGTCCAGGGCGTCGACGCCCGCGGCGGGCTCCTCCACGGTGGGGCGCCAGCTGGGGACGGCGGTGTCGGCCGTGATCTCGGCCACGCGCTGGCTGCCCGCCGAGGAGCTGAAGCGGAACGCTGACCTGTATCGTGACTGTGGCCAACTGCACCGCCGCTGCGGGCTGCTGGTCGTCCGGCTGCGCCGCCTGCTGCTCCACATCGCAGGCACGCCGCCCGCCCCGGAGCCGGGCATCCCAGGGTGCACCGTGGTCGGGAACACCATCGACATCCAGGAGCTGTCGGCGGCCGTGGACGAGGTGGTGTCCGTGTCCGCGGCGCTGGCCCGCGTCCGCGCCGCCGTGTCGCAGGCCGCTGCCCAGGTCTCGCAGGCCACCAACAGCGCCGAGGGCGGCGGGGGGCCCGGGGGCGGCGGAGGGTCGGCGCCGTGCGGCGCGGGCTGCGGGGCCGTGCTGGCCTACAAGCTGCAGTGGTGGCGGGGCCGCGTGTGGCAGGACCGCGTCACGCTGCTGCACCTCGTGCAGGCCATCGTCACCGAGACCCTCTCGCACTCCACCCAGCACCCCGACTGGCCCGGCTGGCGAAACATACTCCGGTACGCTGGGCGACGCTGGGCGGGGGGAGGGCGCCTGTGGATAGGCCGCGTGCCGAGTGCGCCCGTCGGGCGGGACTGCCTAGCAGCCGCCCGGCGGGCGCCGTCTGGCTGCGCAAGCGTGACAGAGGCTGTGCGTCTGTCCGCAGGATGGTGGCCGTGTACAACGACATGCTGGGCCTGGGCTCCTCCGGGGACGGCAGTGTCGTCGGCGTGTGCAGGAACTCGTGCGCCACCCTGCAGCACCCGCTGCGCAAGCTGTCGCTCACCAGGATCCTGCAGTTGTTGGCGCAGCAGAGGGCCGAGCGCTGCTGCCGCCAGCTGGTGCAGGGCCTGCTGGCCAGCTACCGGCCGCCGCACGTGCGCCCGTACCATCGCCACCACGACCCGGCCAACCCGGACAGCCCGGGCTCCAGCTGCTCGCCGCCTCCGGACGACGACAACTCGAGCATGGAGATCTTCAGGGCGCTCACCCACCACCTGTCGCCGCCGCACGGGCTGACGCCGGTGGCGAGCGACGCGGGCTGCGCCGTGGTGCAGGGCCCGGTCAGCGGCGGCAGCGCCGAGGGGAAGCTCGACCTGGAAAGGATCGTTCGCGCCGAGGACGCCCTTCTCGGCGGGCTCCTCCAGGCTGCCGTCCACCACGCTCCGCACCTCCTGGGCGCCGGCGCCGTCAAGAACTCCAAGACGACGGGTGAGCTGTAGTAGAATGGTGTGAGATAGAACGTGTCAGCTTGGAATAAAGAATGTTCCACGTCGACTACTTTCGTTCGACAGATGAAAAGCGGCCGCGCGGCGGGGTACGGCGGCGCGCTCAGCAGTACTACCAGCAGCTGCTGTGGGGTGAGGTGGGCTGCGTCGTCGAGCACGTGCTCCTGTGGTGGGGAGCCGGGAGCGCCCGTCGCGGGCCACTGGGCGCCGAGCCCCCCGAGCACTGCCACCACCTGCGCGCCTGGCTAATCAAGCTCACCAAGTCTTGTAAGTGGTGTGCGTGTTTTGGAGAAGAGTTTCGGGCTGCATCCTCAGCGACACTGACGCTTTATGTTTCCCGCACAGCTGCCGTGCCCGCACTGTGCCTCGGCGCGCTGCAGAGCCTCGTGGACTCGCTGGGCGTCCACGTCACGTCGACCTCGTGGGACGTGCTGTTCCGGCGCGCCATCGTCGCGGCCGGCCACCAGCACTGCCGCTCGCGGGCGCCGCGGCCGGGGGTGGCCCGCGGGCCGACGGCGACGGACGCCGAGGACGAGCAGCAGGAGGCGGGGCGCGGTGACCTGGAGGCCGGGGTGCGAGGCACCGCGACCGGCCGCCTGTTTGCCGCCACGCTGGCTGACCTGGTGGACCTGTCCAACCACTGCGAGGGCGACGGGCCCGCCAGCGCCGCGCCGCCTCTGGACGAGATCGAGGCCCTGCCTCTGGTCGAGCAGATACCCCTCCTCCATAGACTGGACCACTCGGTGCACACAACCCGGCTGTGGACGGCCGCCCGCGCACGCCTGCTGGCCAGCTCGTGGACGCTGGCCGCCTTCTTCCTCGTCAGCCAGCGCGACGTGGCCAACTGCCTGTCCGAGCTCAGCAGACTCAAGGTGCGCCTCCACACCGGACTGGCGCCTGTCACCGCGCCCCGCGCACCCGAAGCTCCCCGAACTCATAATTTTTAACTACTTTCTGTTTGCCAGCTCCGGGACCACGGCGACCTCCCTCGCACAGCCAGCGTCCACGTCACCGTCTGCAGCAAGATGAGGGCCAAGCTGGTCTCCGAGGTCAAGGAGAACATCAACAAGCTCAAACGCGTGCCGGAAGAGTCCATCTCGGTCTTGGCGTCCATCTGCCGGACGGTGAGCCTCGCCACGTTGCACATGATCTTCCCCGCGGCCCGCTACTGGCGCCAGAACGGCTCAGGAGGCATGCCCGAGTACGCCACCGCCTACGTCGAGGACTACTTAGGTGAGCGGACGGCACGACGCGTGCAGGTGAGAGGGCGTAGACCCCGAGTCTCTGTGGTATTCCCGGTCTTCCCTCCCCTGTGCAGAGCGCGTTCTGCGGCCGGTGCTGGCGGCGAGCGGGCTGCTGACGGCGAGCGTGCAGCTGACGGTGGGCGGGCTGGTGCTGCGCATAGCGTGCGAGTCGTGGCTGGACCACATCTACACGCGCCGCATCAAGTTCAGCGAGTGGGGCGCGCTTCAGCTGCTCACCGACTTCGGCGCCGTGCCCACCTGGCTGTGCGAGCGCGTGTCCCTGCCGGCCGAGCTGCGCGCCTCGCTGCTCCGCCACGAGGTGAGTCCCGGACCGTCCCGGACCGGAGAGCTATGCAGAGCGCTGTCTCACCCTTGTCATCTCCCGACGCCCGCAGGTGCTGCGACGCTGCGAGGGCGTCGGCCGCCTGCTGCTGCGCCGTCCCGGGGAGCGCGTCGCCATGTCCGGGCACGCCGCCGCCCCTGGCCCCTCCTCGACGGCGCACCCCGCCCTGGCCGGCAGCACGCCGGCGGGCCGCTTCGGCCAGACTGGGGACCAGGGCGGCGGCGCGGGAGGCAGCGCGGGGGGCGGCGGCTCTGAAGCCCTCATGCCCGCCGAGATGTACGTGCCAAACCAGGAGCAGTGGCTCGAGCTGCGCGCGCCGCGCGGCCCCGGCAACCGGGTGCGCGCTCAGGCGCACGGGCTGTGCGCCGCTACCCTCTGCTGCATGCTGCCCGCCGCGGCGCCCAGCTGACCCGCCGCCCATCACCACCCCCGCCGCGCACCCGCCTGACCCATACTTCGACTTTACGAAGCAGCAATGAGCAAGTTCCTTGTGTTGCCAAGCGGAACGTGGTATGTGTTTAATGTGTCATATTATTGCGTTACAAGGGGAATATTGGCAAGTATGAGAACTACAATGCAACCCCAGGGGCAGAACAAACAAAATATAACTTGTGTGACAGGGCTACGAAGAAAACAAGAGGCGAAGAAAATGCTACGAAAGTGTGTATTTAATTAAACACTTTGTATCAAATACGTCATAAAAATATATAAAAAATGATTGTCACAGCAAAAATGATTTTACATGCAAATTGAATGCGTGTAATATACATGCAAGTTAAAATCTGAGATCAATTATTCAATCAGAATAATTATAGAGGTACCTTACGTATCAAAAACTTGGAAAGTTCCCACTAGGGTACCAGACGATAAAACCACGTTAGTCGAAACAGTTCTTGTTTTTGCCACGGGATGCAAGGACCTGTTGTCTTTTTTTGAGGGTTGGGTTGCAGCAACCGATTGATACTGCCAATCGGTTAGTATGCCGAATATAGTTGATACTCCCGTGGCAGCGTCTTGTCTGTTGGGATCCAGTCTCTGTGAAGAAAAAGGAAACAGGTCTTTAAGAGAAAAGTCCTGCAAGGGATTCAAATATTACAAAGCATGCACTCTTCTTCACCTCATCCACCAGGGGAAGGTCGTTGGCTTCGTCGTCGTCCACAGGGACGTCCGAGAGTGTCTGGGACCACACCCTAAAACAAAAGATCATTTATCAACCGAGCGAAAGTGGATTATACAGGGTGGGTGATCCGCACCCTAATTTTTCTGGTTATGCTGTACCGGATTCATGCAAGAGGACGGGTCGGGACGGGTGGCATACTCGCACGGGGCCGTATGGCGCCATGGCCAGCGACGGTAGGCAAGCCCACCCGCGTGCTTGAATCCGGCAAAATATCAGCAGGAAAAAAAGACGACGCGCATCACCCACCCCCAACCCACCCTGTATAGCATAGTAGTTTCCCACTCGCTTTCTGGAAAAACTTGCTGGGGAAAACATGACGTATCCAGTTTTACGTACCATTCACTGGCCCGCTGCGCGCTGGTCAGCTCTGGCACCAAGGTAAGGAAGCCGCTGGAGGATTCTGGAGACAGTAGCCTGTTTCTTGGCGCGCTCTTCCCGCCAAAGCTTACGGGGCTGATGGGCCGGACGGGGGAGAAAGCGGTGGTGACTAGACCCTCCATGTCGTCAACGACGGTGCCCTGGGCGTCGTCATCGTCCTCGTAGACCTGCGCGGCGAGGTCCTCGACAACCCGCTCGGACACGCTGGTTTGTGCGCCGTGGTCCACGGTGGCGACCCGCTCGTCGATGGTGGCCTGCGCGTCGTCGTCGTCGTCGGCGGCGGCGACCTGCGCGTCGGTGTCCTGCGACGGCTGCGAGGGCTGACTGGCCGACATGCAATCCGCGTTCGGCGAGCCGGGCGCCAGGACGCCGGGCGTGGGTGACGGCGGGTCCACCAGCTCTTGCGAGGACTGCGAAGGGCCAGATGTCGCCGAGGTCTCCGTGGCCGCGGGGCAGAGCCTCTTCCGCGGGCTCCGGGTCGCTGGCGGGCTGTGCGGCCGGCGGGGAGCCCTGCTGCCGCGTGAGGACGTGCTGCACGCGCTGCAAGGATAAGAGCGGTCAGCCTCAGGGCGCGTTGCAGGAAGACATGCAGCATGCAGCTGGGGGATGAATCGGCGCTGACTTACCTGCGCGGAGGCGTTGCGCTCGGGGCAGCGGTGCTGGGCGGCGGGGCGGCTGTGCTGGGCGCCGAGGCGGCGGGTTGCTGGCCGTCAACCTCCACCACGCTGTCATAATGCACGTAGACCATTTGTCCGTCCGCGTCCGGCGCGCAGCGGTAGGCGAGACGCAGGGTTGGGGGCGGCGCGGATGGGCTCGTGCCGATGGTGTCCTGGCCGTCAGGGTAGTGGACCATTTTCGGCCCGTACTCCATCAAAACTTCGATGGGTGACGACCACAAATTTGCCACGGCGTATAAGGAAATGTGGTCGCCCCAGCCACCGTCCTCGACCAGATCGATGGAGTGGTCTAGGTCCTGCCTTTTATCGGCGGTGTAGAAATGCTGCAAAGTGGAGCGATTCTTTCGCATGAATCCGGCCACCTCGCGTCGGAGCTCGGCCACCGCGTCGTCGTCGGGGATCTGGTCGCGGCGATCCGGTGGCAGGCGCTGGTGGAGGACTGCCCGGTAGAGGCAGTGGCCATCGGCCGGGATCCTTTTCACCGTGACCGTGCCATCGTCACAGAGCATCCTTGTCGTGGCCTGGCGAACATAGAGAAGAGCGTTCGTCGGTCACCACACAGCACTTACGAACGGTGTCGTCGGTCAGTGAAACACAAACCCATACGCACCTCGCCTCTCTCCTGCTCGCTCCACGGAATGTCGCCGGACACGCCAACATCCGCCTCGTCGGCAGCGTCATCAAATAGGCGCCTGGAGCAGAAAGAAAAGTGAAAATACGGTCCTAGAGGGGCGGAGGGACGGAGGGAGGGACCAGGGTGGCCACGCAATTGGAGTTTTCAAATTCCCTGACTTTTCCCTGACCTTCCCCTGACTTTTTATGCAAATTCCCTGACTTTTAAATGTATTTTAAGTGGAACTTTTTGCCTCTCAAAGAATTGAAAATGCCACCGGAAGTTTGAAAACAACAATTGGGGCAAGACCAACATTCAATTTCCTGACTTTTCCCTGACCAATATTTTTTTCCCTGACTTTTCCCTATGACTTCCAGGTTGCGTGGCCACCCTGAGGGACGGAGGGAGGGACGGAGGGAGGGACGGAGGGAAAG